CTCATCCTAGTTTTACATCTTCTAGTACAATTTAACCTTTCCAGTCTGCTTGACAATTTATAGCTGAATTCAATTATTAATTAACCTTTTCCTATGGTTAGCTCCCTTTACTAAATTACATATTCACATTCCACGCCGGGGGGGGGGGGGGGGAACCTCACAGTGGCTTCCCATCACACTCTGAGTGAAACCCAACCCCCTCTCAGGGTTCACCAGATTGTTGTCCTGCTCCAGCCTGTCCCTCCTTGAACAGGCCAGGCCCCCTCTCACCTCAGCACCTTGAACTGCCTCTTGCTGGAACCTCCACTGCTCCTTCTCCAGGCACCTGCACGACTGACTCCCTCATTTCCTGCATATCTTTACTAAAAGGATACCTTCTCACCAAGTCCTTTCCTGGACAACCTACCGAGAACTGCAACCTGCTCCCCACCCTCAACACTTTTGGTCTCCATTCCTACTTTATTTTTCTCCTTAGCACATAACACTCTACGGTATTTTTTTTTTTTTTTTTTTACTTAATTTGTCTTATTTATTGCCTTTCTATCCCACTAGAATATAAGTTTAGTCAGGGTAAGAATTGCCGGTTTGCCTTCTTTCATTCCTATATCCCTGGCACATTGGATTCGACATTCGATAGATAAGAAATGAATGAATGAACTATATGTGCCTCGAAGGCTGGGATTGGCTATCTCCTTAAACTTCCTCTTCTATATCCCAAACCTTCATTACTACTTCCGTCCCAATACCCCAGTTCCTAATATCTAGTGGTATTCAATAGCTGTTAAATGAATGAGTGCATTTAGAAGAGACTTCATACTTTTGCTCATTTGTCTACCATCCTTTATGTCCAGGCACTTTTAAACTAAATTTCCACATTTGTTGGCTCATTAGTACTCATGTATCGCAGAGAAGAGAGAAGTAACAGAATAGAGATTAAATATAAATTTATCTGTTGATGTGCAGGCCCATAAGATTAGCATTAGTTAAATCATAGCCCTGGAATATAGACGCTTTCAGAATGCTGAGAGAAAAAAAGGACAGTCTGATTAGGTATTTTTCTACTGCATGGCAATTGAAGGTTTTCTGGGGGTTTTTTTGTTTTGTTTTGTTTTTTGTTTGCTGCACAATAAAGTTCCTATAATAGCTCACACAAGTGTCTATTTTTAAGTTTGCTAATGCATACAGTTTATGAAGTCGTTCAAATGGAAATTTTAACCATGATTTGAGTGGTGCTTAACTGCCTTTCCTATTTTGGATAAAACTATACCCAGGCTTTCCCTCATGACACTATCAGAGATTTGGCTTTTTCAAATAAGGATTACATTAGCTGACTTAAGATATATTTCTTCATACGAGTCTTCTTTCAAGTGGTGAGCTACTAATAATCATTCTTATTATTAGATGAAATCTATTCACTTCTCATGAAAGGATTCTTCTCTTAGGTCCTCAGAGCTATTATATTACAGCCCAGCAGTGTTCCAGGCACCTTGGGAAACACAAAAGTGTAGGACTGACTCTTATAAAAAGCTTATAATCAATAAATTCGGGCTGTGAGAAGAGGCAAAGTCAGGTAAAACAGTAAGAAGACAATTAGAGCTCACCAAAGGTTAGGTGAGCTGACATAATGACTTGCTGTTCCAGCAGATTTTTAAACAGACTCTCTTTGTAAGAGGAGAGGAAAAATATCCTCCTGTCCCATGAAAATGTTGCACTCTACAAAGCAAAAATTATATATATAAATTATACATACATATGCATATATATTAGAAACTTAAGGACTCACAGTTAATAGAAACAAAATTATTCTAAAATTAGATGTATATAAATAGACCCTGTACAGTAATACTTTTCTTATCTAGCAGTCAGATTTTAGCAGGACAGCATCCCAGTGTTTCAGGAAATAATGAATGAGAGAAAGAGAAAGAGGGAGAGAGGCTTCTGGTCATCCCAAATTGGTGCAAGGATGTAGAAGAATGCCCTTTAGATGGGCTAAAATATGCAAAAGCACATTGGTTTTATAAAGGACTATGCATTTATGCATATACTTTTCAAAACCGATGTGCTTGAACCAACCAGAAAAGACATTTCATTTTCCTAAGTGATCTGATTTCATCATGGGAACCTGTCTCCATGGACACTTCCACCAACACCAGCAAAGAGGAAACAACCTAAAGTAAAGTACTCAAGTATCAACCCCTAAGAGGTTTTTACTCTGTACAAACCTGCATGGCAGAGCATAAGCACGAGGAGGGCAGGATGAGCCAGGCTACAACGGACTTCTTCAAATCAACACAACAGTACACAAGCAACCCCATCTTCATCCAAACTCCCAATGTCACATTTTCACCTCAAGATGTGAAATTATGCAATATATCTTGGAAAAGGTTTCATAAAAATCTGGCTTATACAGAGATATTATTTAAGGTTACATATCTATTGCATCCTGAATACTTCATTCAACAAATCAAACAAGTATTCAGTGAACACTTATTATGTACCAGACACTGGTTCTGATATTTGGGAAATACGTTATGAACCCAACAGTAAAAAAAATATTTGCCTTTGGGGAGCTCATATTCCAGCAGATATATAAATGATTAGGAGCTAATGAGTGTCAGCGGCAAGGGGAGGGGGTTGGGAACAGGGTAAAAGAGACTGGAGGTATGGGGAGGATGGGTCACATTTCTAAATCGGGTATTCAAGGCATGACTCACTGAGGAGAAGACATCTGAGCCAAGACTTGATAAAAGTGCAAGTTACTACTACAGACATCTAGAGGAAAATGTTCTAGATATAAGGAATGGGCAAGGCAAAAGCTCTACAGGGCAAGCATACTTGGGATGTTCTAAGAAAAGTACAAAGTCAGGGTAGCTGAGGTAGAGTGAGCTGGAAGATCAAAGGGCGAAGGTGGGAAAGGGGACAAATTGGGATGGGCCTCATAGAACCTAGTGAAGACTCTAGCTTTTACTCTAAAACGCTTTGGAGAGTTTGAGCAGGAGTACAGAGTGATGACTTAGATCTTAAAATAATGATCACTCTGACCGCATGGGTGCAAGATGCAAGCAGGGAAAGCAGTTATTAGCAGGTTTCTGCAGTAATCCAGGCATGAGGTAATGGGAGAATAGGACCAATGTGCAGGCTATGGCAGATTCTGCATTTATACTGAGAATAAAACCAGTGCATGTTATCAGCTGAGATGCGGAAGGTTACTAGTGAAATAGGTTTGTGAGGAAGATCTGGAATAAGCAATTTATGGATTACAGAGTGATTTACTCAGCCTGCAGGAAAGACTCCTACAAGTAACATCTTGTGTGGATGTTGAGAGATGACAATGGAGGAAAGAAGACAGAAAAATACAGACAGTGGAGAAAGAACATGCAAGAGCACTGAGGCAAAAACAAAAAATCTGGGAGCGCCTGGGTGGCTCAGTTGGTTAAGCCTCTGCCTTCGGCTCAGGTCATGATCCCAGGGTCCTGGGATCGAGCCCTGCATTGGGCTCCTTGCTTTGCAGGGAGCCTGCTTCTCCTTCTCCATCTGCTGTTCCCCCTGCTTCTGCTTTCTCTCTCTCTTTCAAATAAAGAAATAAGATTTAAAAAAAAAAAAATCTGTTTATGGTATTACTCAAACTGAATAAGAGTAACTTTCTTAATAGCACAGATTCCTGGGGCCCAACCTGCATCTACTGAATCAGAATTTCCAGGGAAGATACCCAAGAATCTGAATATCTAGCAAGTGTGTACCACCTGCCCCTACTCCATTGCTTTTATAAGGGAGTTCTGGAAATGCTGTTTAGCATAGGGATGTTAGGGAAGTGGGCAGGTGGGGAGAGAATGAGCGAGGCAGGGCTGCCATTGACTCGATCAGATCTGCATGGTTGCCAAAAAGTAAGTTTATGGGTGGTGCAGAAGATAGAGAATCCAAGAGAGTGTCGAGGTTGATGGATTAGTTTAGGAGGTCATTGCAATAACCTAAAATAAAGTAACATGAAGGTTAAAATTCCATATTGCCTGAATATGAGATGATCTCCAGTTATGCCAATAAGACAATCCAATTAAAAAAAGTTGATTGTTTTCCCATTTGGAATATACAAAATTTTAGAGCAGTGAAAGATATTCTAACACTTACAGATATTCTAAAGTGATTAAAGATATTCTTACAGTGATTAAATGTACAAAAAAGTGGTCAACTAAATTAATCATCAGGGAAATCAAATTAAATCATAATGTAATACCACCATTCTCCCATCAAAATGGCTAAAATTTTAAAAGACAGACAATACCAAAGGTTGGCAAGACTTTGCTGATGGATGTGTGAGTCAGTCCAACCACTTCAGAAAACTGTTTGACAGTGCCTGCCAGAGCTGACAAACACAGACCTTGTGGCCAATAAATCCCATGCCTAGGCATGTCCCCAACCAAATACATTAATTTAGTTAACCAGAAGTCACATAGCTCTAGAGTCTTAAGAGCAGCACTATTCCTAACAGTCCCAAACTGGAAATAACACAATCACCTACCATAGGAGAATGAATAGGTTGCGGTTGTTGAAAAAAATTAAGTATCACTCAGCAATGTGAACAAACTAACTGTAAGAACATAGATGAATTTCACAGACATAATGTTGAGGAAAGAAGCCAGGCAGCAAAGTGGTACTTACTAAATAATTCTACTTATAAGCAGTTCAAAAACGAGCAAAGCTAATCCGTGGTGCTAGGAGATGGGATGCTGTTCACAGTGTGCATATGGCAGGAGGAGGCGGGCAGCCAGGGACCGGGAGAGAACAAGAGGGAGCATTTTTGGGTGAGGGAAATGTTCCGGTTCTTGGTCTGAGTGCTGGATACACTGTCTGCTTTGTGAAAATCCACTGAGCTCTATACTTATGATTCCTCTACTTTTCTGAATGTATACTTGTTTATATAAGGTAAGGGTATTTGTTATTTTCAGTTCAAGTCACAATGAAATATCAAACACATTTAGATATGTCACTTTTTTTCGACCCACATCTCTCCAAACACCATGATTCAAACTCTTCATGCGTTTGTCTGACGTCCGTGTCTGTAGTATCACAAGTCAGAATTTTAGTCCTCTGAGTTTTCTGAAGCATACCCAACTTCACTGGAGACACAGCGTTTGTGGAATCTCGGTCTGATGCTATCACAGGAAACATCCTAAGCTGCAGACATCTGGTAAAAATTAGGAGAGATGACAGTTTCATTTGTCCTATAGGTGTACATTCATGCTTTCTGTATCGTTAACTCGAATGTACTGCAGTGCTTTTGGGGGGTTGGTAGTAAAAAGACTTGTTTATAAAAACATTTTGCATTTGCAATTGGAGGACACAGTCCTGGGAATAAATAGACCATTCTAAGTGCTATTTCATCCTTAAAAAAAAAAAAAAAAAAATTGGTCAGGTGCCTTCCATAAATATCTAACCACATCAAACGAGGTCATTTTGGGCTAATGTGTCTTCCTCACACAGTACTCTGCTGTTTAAAATAAAGCAGTTGGGAACGCACCCAGAAATAGCAGAGGCTTTGTGTTCACTCTAATACAACAACACTCCCTCTTTTTCTGAGGAGTAATTTTGCAGGATGAAGGGAACCTTGCGTTATAATATTCAAGCATATGCAATAATCATTGACACAGGGAAAGGAATGCCCAGAAACAAAATATATTTAAGGAAATCAAATCAAAATGCCTGAGTGACTGATTCAAAGTGCACCATGAGAGTGGATCCAAGGATGGTACAAATATTTTTGCCTTAGGCTACCGTGTGAAAGATGGGTCCAGGATCAAGGAGGCCTGGGGTGGGGCAAATCATGTGTCACCTGTTGGACATGTTTAATGTTTGACAGGAATATCCAGATAGCACAGAGAAATTTAAAGAGTAATCTAAGAAATTCCCGTGTTGCTGGCAGAGAGAAGTCCCTTGCTGGGAAGGGCCATTTCACCATCTCTTACAGGTCTAAGACCAACACAAGGATCCCTCTGAGGCGAACCTCAGCCTATTCCCCACAGCCAATCCTACTCTTCCTAACATATCTTTGTCCTACTGCCACCAAACTGCCTGAGTACTTATGGTTACAACTGAAGGAACTTAAATAATAATAATAAAATAAGGGACTGTGGGAATAAAGTCAGCACTCAATGTCTAAAAGTTACTTTACCAGTTTCACTGGAATTCCTACTGATAGCCTGAATTCTATTTTCACTTTTGGCCATTCATTTTTAAGCTTTCCTTTGGGATAAAAATATAATTAAGTATATTTCCTTATACTTTCTGCTACAGAAAATGAGTATTTTCCTAGTGGTTTAAGAAGAACACATGTGGCTCTAAACAGGAATATCTTCTGCACTGAGATGTTGGGCACTGCCCAACTTAGGGCAGCGAGTTACCATTTAGTCATTAATCACTGAACACTACGTAGAAGTCCTTAAACTAGAGCAGGGCTGGGATCACTGGGTGAGACCCTCAAAGGTCAAATATAAAAGTGTTATCCTTTCTTCAGCCTTTAAGAAAAGGCACACTACTTACTAGGAGCTGTGGGCTTGAAGGTGACAGTGAGAGATTTTTGATGATGGTATAATACAAGAAGGATATAGAGGGTTTTGTGAAAGCATATCCTGGTGAGCAGTCCTTGGGATACTTCCATCATACTGGTCTGCGTCATGTAAATAAGGTCATGCATGACATGACACCCAACCCTCAAGATGATCAGCATCTGCCTTCACTGTGATCCCTGGAGGCCTCTCTGAGCAGTATGGATGCCCTTCCTTCTCCCTCCCACAGGGCCCTAGGCATAGTTCTACCCACAGTCTTATTATCATTTTATATATAGATTTGCCACTTCTATTGCACTGTGGATTACTTATGAGGGAGTTGGTCTCTTTACTATTTGGACACTAGCCTGGGTCTGGTACAAAATGGGTACCTGTTAAATGTTTATTAAGTGATTGAACTAATGCAGACAAATGAATGTCAGGGTCAAAGGCTGCACGTGACGTTAATAATGTACTCTGCATATCAACTGTTCCATAAAATTTATGTATGTAAAGCCTTATGGTTACATATCATGGTGGACTTCCAAGAGCCCTCTTTTAAGACACTTTAAATTTGATACAGCTGACTTGCACCAAAAGAAGCATGGGAATTCACTGGCAACCTCTAAAGTTTCTCTATCAAAGGTAGAAAAAAATATATCTATATTGTTTAAATTAACAAAGTACATGGGGACTTTTGAAAGCACAGAAAAATCAATAAACAGTCCTGATCTGTAGTAAGGAGCATGACTGGATGCTGAAAGAAAAAAAGAAAAAATCTTTGATGGTATCAGCATTCTAATTAGAGTCAGACTTCCGATTTTTCTTCTCAACTTCATTCCATAGTTAGAATTCAGATTAAATCCACTGAAAATAAAGAGGACTGAGATGAATTCTACTGAAAGAAAAAAGCAACAAAGAAAAAGGAGACAGGCTGACAAATAGAATTAGATGGAGACAAGAGATAATTTAGAGGATTTTTCAAATAATTTAGGGAAAATACCACTGGCCTGAGCCAAGATTCCTGAGATCCATGCTGCCTGACACTAACCAGTTCTATGCTCACAACCAAGAAACTTCACCTTTCTATTTCCTCAGCAATAAAATGCAGTTGGACAGTTGAGTGGCCAAGGTCCTTCCAGTGCTAAAATTCTAACCATGCGTATTTGCAGTAATTACTAGAAGAGTGGTGACACTGACAATACATAAACCATTTCAAATTGGTATTGTATATTTTCAATATATTAAATTTAAATACAAGCGAGAAAGGACCCAGTTTAGCAAAATGCTGAGAAAGGCTCTGATTTTTTTTAGGAAAAAGCTTTTGACAGAAGAACACAATTGCAGATTTATCTGTTTCCCACGACTTTCAAAAAGTTGAAAATATATATACAAGCTAAGACCCTGTGCCATACTTAAGGTGTCCTATAGTGGAGCTCTCCTTTTTCATAGATTTGGCTGTGACAAATACAAACACGTTTTCCTTTTCTGACACTGAATGAATAATAATGAATGAATAATAAAAGCAGCAAAGTACAACTGCTACTCTAATCGCAAATTGATCTAAGAAGTGGGCTTGCTCATTTTTCCCCTGCCCAATATATGTTTCAATGTGGTCTCCCACAATAACTTTTTTTTTAATCCCCAAAATAGCTCTTATACATACTGGGACATAACCAGGCATATCTGGTGGACAGCCTGGACACCGAGATGGGAGATTGCAAGTGTTACTTTGTTCATGCCTACTTGCATTTATCTGCAGGCAAGAGGTGATGGTGGAAGGGGCCAAAGGCTAGAAGTCCAGAGATTTGGGTTTAATTTTTAATCTGAGAAGTATTTATTTAATGTCTTCTGTTTCATCATTGGCAAAATGAGAGGGCTTACCAACTGATTACTAAGGCCTGTCCTAGCTCTAAAATTCTGATTCTCTGATGTGGTTGAGCAGGCAAGGACATGGGATCAGAACTGTGGAATGACCTGGATAAATGTTTAAGATCTTAGAGAGTAATGGTGATGTTCAGAAAGAATGCTGGCCTGACTACAACAGAGGGACCCAGCAGGGCTCTAAAGGAAGAGGAGAAGAGAAGGGGCAACACCTTTTTGGCTGAAGGGCTTAAGACCCTTTTCTTTTGCAAAGTATCTGAAAATAATTAAAATTATTTTGACAGCTGCAAGTAATTGGGAGGTAGGTGAAAACAGGAAGTTCAGGCACAGAATAACCTCACTAGTTCCAGATTCAACCAATTCAATATTTATAATACTTTGGACTTAAGTAACTGACATTTATTATTACAAATAATAATAGTTTTTTTCAAGCAGTAGAGAACAAAACTAATTATAACCACAGCCCTTAAAATAAAACTCATTAGCATACTAGACACTTCGCCTCTCATTTTTATGTTATTTCTCCATTGACAAAGTGTAAATCAGAATTTCTCAGGAAGAGCAAACAGTTATTTCACTAAAGATCTCAGTTCTATTCTTTATCATCTTGTAAATAAAACTGTCACTAAGAGGTTAAAAATATTTGTAAATGAGTGTTCATATATTCAGGGGGAAGAAAGGTCTCTTAAAACCTACTTTCATAGCAATCATAACAAATTATGTTTGTGTAGCCCTTTACAGTTTATATACAAAGAGCTTTTACATCCAATCACGTGTAATTTGTGAGGGAACAAGGTGCTAATAAGAAATTACTCCCATCTATTCATTAGAAGATACAGTGACCTTTCTTTAGCCATTAGTTCATCTTACATTTACAGTATTTAAAAATGATTTACTTAAAAAGTATTAAACTTTCTGGTGATTTGGTATAGTCTTGTTCCATTATTCTGAATTCCTTAAGAGTTACTTCATTAGAAAAGGAATCCACTTACTATGGTAATTTTGTGGGTGTCATTCAAGAGATTGTGGGAAAGAAAAGAGACTATTATCTTTAAATTTACCTTAAAATCGTTTATACAACATAGGCCCCCATCAAGCTGTATGAATAGAAGTATACAGATAAAAGAAAAAAATTTTGTAATTATGCTGAGTACAAATCATCACAGAAAAATTAGGACAATTTTTAGTTAATATTCATCCTCGGTTCTCTCATCTTTGCTTTAGAATCTTGAGAACACATTAGGTAAATTTTTTGCTTAACATTTAAAGAACCCATTTTTGAGTGCTACTTTCAATGAAGATAATTGTGTGCCTACTTTATTACTTACTCGATGGCGGGGGAAAAAACTACAGTACTTACAAGTAGCCTATCCCTTCAGCACCACAAATTTATTAATTAAGAATTCTAGCCTTTGATCCAAAGCAATAAACCTAGGAATACACATTGAACTGTTACCTAAATAAATATATAATTAGTAGTATATGTAGGCAAACAAAAAACAGAACTAAATAGTTATTAGCTTTTCCTCCAAGGCTACAAAACACACACACAAGTGACATAGCAAAACCAAAACCAAACAACCTCTGATCTGAAATGTAGTTGCCAAGGAACTGACAGAATTCAGTAAATCATCCCCATACTAAATGCACCAGAGAATACAACACAGCCATTCAAGAAATGAAAAAAAGGCCAAGACTCTAAAAAAAAGGCAGAAAGAACAATTCTACATTATCAATATGGAAATATACATGATATTTA